GGAGAAGACAAAAAGGAAGTGGATCCCCTCAACCCAAGAAGCACCCAGAGTAAGAATTGAAGCCCAGAGGGAAGAGAAAAAAAAAAAAGAAAAGAAAAAACTTAACAGAAGAAGGTGGTAGCTGGCAGCACTTTTACCTGGAGCCGAAACCACCGTGCAAAAAGCACTGTTGGAACCTAGGGACGCATGGTCACAGTGAAGCTGATGGCTGGCAAGCCCGAAGGCCTCTCTGGGGAGACATGGTAGCAGAGGCAAGCAGCAGACCCAAGAACTACACTGTTGGTGGTGACTGTGGGTGACTTCATTCAGCCACTCTTAGCTCAGTGCAGACTGGTGGAAATTGCTTAGACTGAGTCCCACCTCTGGACACAATCCAACAGCCACCAGAGGTTTCCCTAAAGCTATCCCTAACCAGCTCCACCCACCTTGCACATAGGAATGTAGTGAGGGCTCCCGCAGTTAATAGCTCAGGAGGGAGGCACCAGCCTGCCCTGTCTCTGCTTGCATTCCACAAGCCACCGAAAGCCCTACACCAGCGCATCCAGTGGTCACAATCGGATATCCCTAGCCAGCACACTTCAGAAAAATTATAACCAACATAGGGAAGTGCCAGGGACCCCACTACCTACTTGTCTGGAAGAAACTAGGAACATGACAAGAAGCAGCAGCAAAAGGCCATCTCAGGCCTCCAACCCAAGCAGTACTGGTCCAGGAGATGTAAACATGGAAGAGATCGAGACACCTGAAATTTCTGAAGCAACAGCAACTAAAATAAACAACTTCAAGAGGCTATAGAAGAACTTAGAAATACTACTTCAGGTAAAAAAAGAAATGAGAAACATAATAAAAGAATTGCTAAGCACCTCTAAAGAAGACACAGATGGAAGAATGGAGGAGCATAGAAAAAGGAGGGAAACCTTCAATGAAGAATATAAAAAAGATTTAGAATACATGAAACAAATTCAAAGAGATTACCAAGAAATTAAAAACTCCACTGAAAGCTGGCAGAACTGCTTGAAAGAAACTAAAGACAGACTATCAGACCTTGAAGACAGGTTTGCAGCTTGTGATCATGAAAGGAAAGATCTCAAAATTAACAAGGAACCAGGAAGTAACAATACAAAGCTAGAAGATGACAAGAGAATCTATAACTTAAGAATAAAAAAATGTGAGTGAAGAAGCAGGGTAAGCACAAATGAAATACAAAGGCTATTTATAGAAATAATTAAAGAGAACTTCCTAAGCATAGGAAAAGGAAATGATATTCAGGTAAGTGAGCTCCAGCCAGCTATAAACAAAATAGATCTACACCCACATGTATAATAATCAAGATCCCAGAAATTCAACACAAGAACAGAATATTAAAAGCTGTCAGAGAAAAGAAACAGATCACCTATGAAGGAAAACGATTCAGAATCAACAGACTTCTCGACACAAACCATCAAATCAAGAAGGGCTTGGAATGAAGTGTTACAGGTCCTGAAAGAAAATAACTTCCAACCCAGATTGATGTACCCTGAAAAACTGTGTCTCAAAATAAATGGAGAAAAAAGATGCTTCCATGATAAAGAGGAATTGGGGGAATTCATGACCACCAATCCAACCCTACAAAAAATACTGAAGGACATTCTAGAGATAGAGAGAAAAAAGACCATGGTTTCAGGAACAGCAGCAGAGGGGGCTCACTAAATGGGGCAGATAGTGGAGTGAAGGGGAAAAGTAGACAACCAACAGCAGAACAATAGCATGGCAGAGATGAGGCAGAGAAGGTTGGCTATCATCTCTAACACAGACGGCCTTGATACACTAACAAAAAGAAACACAGGCAGAGTGGATCAGGAGATTGTCTTATCAATATGCTTTATATAAGAAATACATTTAACCCCAAAGGGCATTTATAGACTGAAAGTCAAAGAGGAGAAAACAATGCTCTACGTGACAGGGAACCAGAAAAAAGTGGGGTAGCTTGCCCATCAGCTGCAGATTGGTTAGAAGTGACACTTTTATACAGTGGAAAACTACTCAGCTATAAAGAAAAAAAAAACCCTTGAGGCTCTTGTAAGCAAATGGATACAACTTGAGATCATGCCCAGGGGTAAAAAGGTTCAGAATCACTTAGGTGAATAGCGGGTTGCCTCCTAATATAAAAATTAAAGAAGTTAGTGGGATCCAAAATGTACAGTACATCCTGTGAAAGTGAAAGGGGAAGAACTGTGGGAAAAGGGAAGGCATTGCCACTGTTAATCTATTATCATGATTTGAAACCCATGTGTTTTCATTGTTTTATTTAGTTTGGTTTTATTCTGTTTCAGTTTGTCTGCTTGTATTAATTTGATGGCATAGACAGCTATTCCAAAGATAGCAGGATATATTATGATAACCATTTTTGATTTTCTGTTAGCTTGATTTGAAGCCTTGTATTGCTTTCACCGTTTTGTTTTAACTGATTTTATTCTATTCTGTTTTGTTTGATAGTATCAAGTATGATGGTATAGGCAACTACTTTGAAGACAAGATACACTATGATAACCATTCTGGTTTGACTGTTATCTTTTGAAGTCTTATAATGTCTTTAATGTTTTGTTTTTATTGGTTTTGTTCTGAACTGTTTTGTTCAGTGTTATTATGCCTGATGATGTGAACAATTCTTTTGAAGGTAACAGGAGGCATTATAGTGGCCATTATTGATCTCCTTCTATTTTGTTTTTAAGTCATGTACCATTGTTGATCCTTTTGTTTTGATTGACTCTGTTTTGTTTTGTCTCACTTAGTTTTATTCTCTTCAAAATAATAAAAAAAAAATCTCATCTACCTTGAAAAACTGTTATCCTGGCACAGAATTAATTTGGTCAGGAGGCAGCATGAGGCCAGAAAATGAGAGATCATATTTTGGGTAATGTATTTATAAGAATATGGAAGTAGGCATGGTGGCACATGCCTATAATTCCAGCACCCTTGGAGGTTGATGCTGGAGATCACAAATTTAAGCCCATCCTGGGCAACTTAGCAAGACTCTTTCTCAAAAACTTTGTCCAAAACTTAGGAAGAAGCCCAGGGGGAATACCTTGGGTTCTGTACCTAGTATGTTAGCACCACTCAAGAAGTCTTTAATGGACTAGAGATGTAGCTCAGATGGTGAAAGTTAAAAAATATAGATGGAGGCTCTTCTGAGAAACTTTCTTTCCTTTACTTAGTTTAAAATGTTTGGGGGCTGGGGGTTTATCTCAGTGGCATAAGCGCCTGCCTTGCAAGCAGGCAGTTGTGAATTCGATCCCCAGTACCAATAAAAATGAAAAAGACCAAAAAAAAAATAATAATAATAAAATAAAATGTTTATGCGACTTAATAGTTTCTTAGGATTTTTTGTATTGTTTTGGAATAGTTAAGTTGTTGAAGGTGTTAGGACATGTTTTATTTGCTTTAGCATTGTTTATGGAAGCTGAAATATCTAGTAATTCCTCTTAAGGAAGATGTGCTATGGTAAGATCAGGAATTTAGTCAAGAATGAATAGATGTAGATGTTCATGTATATGTATGAATGTTTAGTGTTCATCAAAGTAGTAACATAGAGACAAATAGAATGAACTTTTCTAACACTGAGATTTATAAATACATCTTTTCACCTATTAGACTATGAAATAAAAAATATCAAGATCTGCTTGATTGATGAAGCTCTGTAAGAGGAAGCATGCTCATATATTACTGAAGCAGCTGACCCATTGAGAATAGTTTGCAAATATTAATAAAATTACTAATGCATTTATCTCATGTCCCACTTTTGGAGTTTTGTTTGTTTGTTTTGTTTTTGGTACCGGGGATTGAACTCATGACCTCACTCTTGCCCAGCCGGTGCTTGTGCCACAAAGCTAAACCCCCAGCCTTGGAGTGTTTTGTTTTTTTTTAATATGTTTGCATATATGAAATTGCTATATACAAACTTATTCGTCACATAATTTCAGTAAACTTTGGAAATTACTCAAAGGATTACTGTGTAAGTGAGAAAAAAAAAAAGAAAATGAAAAAAATTTCCATATCTGCACGTCCAATATGGTAGCCATTAGCGACATGTGGTTATTTAAATTTAAAGTAATTGGGCCAGGGATATAGCTCAGCAGTACAGTACCTGCCTGGCAAGCACAAGACCCTGAGTTCAACTGCCAGTACCAAAAATAAATATATTTAAACTAATAAAAATTAAACCTTAAAGTTTCATTCTAAATGTCATACTAGTGACATTTAAAGTGTTTTGTTGCTATACATGACTTTTGGGTATTAGTTAGTATAGGCACTAACTAACTATAGGCATAGACCAATGGAGATGGTTCTGTTGGACAGTACTGCTTTACAAACATAATATAAAAATATTATAATACATAAGGGGCACTTAAAGAAAGAAAAATAAAACTCAGGTTCTTTGTGGAAGTTTAAAGCTGAGTTCCAGGACTTTTTAAAAAAAAATACAGACTTTTTTCATAAATTATTTTCTCTTAAAATCAGTAGACATCCCATTTTTACTTGTCAGTTCACCATCATTTTCAGATGTGTTGATATGATTACTAGGTAAATTATATATTATTTAAAAACCAGTTGTTAGATCCAAACAAGGTAACAGAATTAATACTTTATTATAAAAGTAATAAGTTAATAATAAAAATTAGTAATTTTCTAGCACATCTTTACTGGTTTTTGTAAGCAAAATGATTGAACCAAGCATGCCTGGCAAAGTATCTTCCTCAGCTGTTTATTGAATGCAAACTCTAAATATTTTAGGTGCTTTCAAGTACCTCACTGAAAGTTGCCTGGAGTATTCTGAAATTACCTACATATAACCTTTAAATGGTGATAGAACATATTAAAATATTTATTTCAGACTCAGGTTTATTTTACTGTTGTCCATGAAGGTAGTGATACTTTATTTTGTCATCTTACTGTGCAGTGTTTTTTAAAATACAGAATTGTACTAGATGGATGAGATACTAATGAATAATCTGTTTTAACAGAAATATAGAAAATAAGAAAAATCTCCCTCTGGATAATAAAGTTGTAGAATGTAGAGGAAAAAGATCACCCATGAATTTATCTTACCAAAGTCATCATTGTTCTTGTGCCTGTCTGATGAAAATGCCATCAACCACCAAGGCAGAAAACCCTCTGCAATTACCAATCAGATGTCACTTCCAAAGACGACATGCAAAGACAAACACTCACTCTTCAGCACTTCATGTGAATTATAAAGCTCCTTGTGGAAGAAGTCTGCGAAACATAGAGGAAGTCTTTCGTTACCTGCTTGAGACAGAGTGCAGCTTTTTATTTACAGATAACTTTTCCTTTAATACCTATGTTCAGCTGACTCGGAATTACCAAAAGCAAGAAGAAATTGTTTCTGATGTAGATATTAGCAAGGGACTAGAATTGGTACCCATTTCTTTCTGTAATGAAATTGACAATCGAAAGCTTCCACAGTTTAAGTACAGAAAGACTATGTGGCCACCAGCATATTATCTAAACAATTTTTCCAGCATGTTTACTGATTCCTGTGACTGTTCTGAGGGCTGCATAGACATGTGAGTAGCAAAACAAGACATTTTAAAAACTATTCTGAATATTGGGATTCTGTCAAGAAGTCCTACTGTGTATTAATTTATCCCTAAGAATCTAAAATGAAGAACAGTGCTATCTCACTTGCAATAAGAAAGAAAACTGCCAAATACAGTAATTTGAGATGTATTCTAATAATATTTTCTTTAATCTAGTACCATAGTTATAATAGTGGATGCCATTTTATAGTGCTAGACACTCTGATGGCTGCTTTGCATGCTTCCTTATTTCATCAGAAAAACCCTGAAGTAGATAGTATTATCTCTGTGTTAAAAGTGAGGCTTGGAGAGAAAAAGTCAGATACTTTATAGGCCAAACAGTTTGAATGTTTTATTTTCTTTGACACAGTGTCCCACTGTGTTGCCCAGTCTGTTATTTAGCTGATAGGCTCAAGCAGTTCTCAGCCTCATAAATAACTGGGACTACAGGCTTGTGCCACACCACACGTGGCTTAAACTCTGCTTTGAGGGGCTTAGAATTTGGGATTGAACCCATCTCTTTTTTTACTTAAAAAAATTCTGGAGACAGGATCTTGCTAAATTGCCCTACTCCAACTGAGATCCTCTTTTCTCAGCCTCCCAAACTGCTGGGGACTGTAGGCTTGTGCCACTGCACCCAGCAAACCTTTGTTATTTTTTTTTCTTTCTTTCTTTTTTTGAGACACTGTATTGTTACACAGTTCAGGCTGGCCTTGGGCTCATTTTGTATCACAGTCTGGACTCGAACTTGCAAACGATTCTCCTGCCTCAGCCTCCCAAGTGCTGGGATTACAGGAGTCCTCTGCCATGCCAGCTCAAACCTTTGTTCTTAAACACTATAATATATTGTATTTTATTTTTACTTAAAAATCATTTCCTGGCTAATTTTTTTTAGAAATTTAATGATGTTTGCAATTAATATATTTAATATGCCATTAAAAAAATGAAATCTTGTTCTAGTATCTATTTGCAGGATTTGTAGATATGAAGTTATATTAAATGTATACTGTATTTGATACAAAGTCAACTATACTAGGCAAAAGAAAAAATGAAAAAAATGTTTATCTTACTGTGGGTCATAGTCAAAAAATATTCAAAAGCTTGTCCTTCACATCTGCTTAATATTGATGATAATGATGAGGTTCACTATAGCACTGTTACATTGAAAACCTGTTATTTAGCTGGTAGGCTCAAGCAGTTCTCAGCCTCATGAATAAGCTCTGCTGTGAACCAAGTAGACAGTGGCTAAAAGCTGTAAGAAACTCAGAGAAATTAACTGCATTTATGTATTTCTTGTGTGAATCTCAGAAACATTATATTGGATGAGGTGTGGTGGCACACTTGTAATCCCAGCACTTGGGAGCTTGAGGCTGAAGGATCAGGAGGTTAAGGCCAGTGTGGACTACAAAGCAAGACCCTGCCTCAAGAAACTAGTGGGCAAAGAAACACATTACACTGAACAAAAAACACGTTGTAGTATGGCGCTGATACAGGAAAAACTGTCGGTTGTTGAGATATATATATAAAGTATGAAGGATACCACATCTTCAGTTTTATCTCTAGTGCTTTTTTATATTGGTAATATCAGTATTGATTTTAATATATAATTAAGTTTATTGCTGCATTTTAGATATCCATAATGATCATATTCATCATAGAGGATTCAAACCTGTATGATACATTTTGACTTCTCTGTTTTTCCCATTTCCCTCTCTTCCTTTCAACCCATGTTTCCCTCCCTATTTACAAAGTTTTGTTCTTATTTTATTCTTTTTTTAAAAATTGAGTTTTTTTCCCTTTTTCCTTCCTCCCTTTTCCCCTTTCCCCACTGTAGTTCTTCTTTCCTTTTGAATGGTTTCTTCCCATTTCATAGTACCTGTTTTTACATTTTGGTCTTTATTTATTCTTTGAGTTTCTCACACTAGGGAGACAATGTGCTATTTACACATGTGAGTCTAATTTATTTTACTTAAGAGTATGGCTTCAAGTTGCATCCATTTACCTAGAAATACTTCAAATTTATCCTTCTTTGTGGTTGAGTAGTACTCCACTGTATTAAAAAAAACCCACATCATCTTTATCCATTCTTCAGGTGACGGGCATTTGGGTTGTTTCCATGGATGCATATATGTCACTGTGATATGTTGTTTTTAATTTTTCTAGGGAGATACCCAGAAGGGGAATAGCTGGGTCAAATGGGACCTCTAATCCTAGTTTTTTTGGCTTTGTTTTTTGGTACCAGGGATCAAACTTACTGACTTTACACTTAACAGTCAGGCGCTCATGCTACTGAGCTAAATCCTTGGCCTCTCTAATCCTAGTTTTTTGAGGAAATTCCATACTGATTTCCAAAGTGGTTGCACCAGTCCATATACCCACCAACAATGGAGAAGGGTTCCTTTTTCCCTGTAGCCCCTCCAGCATTTGTTATTGGTTGATTTCTTGATGACAGCCATTCTTTTTCGGAGGGAGGTACTTTTTAAAAATTATAGATATTAGTATATATGTAGCAAAAGATGGACTAAACAAAATGCTAACAAATAATTCTGAGTTGTGGAAAAAACAAGAATGTTGGAGCTGGGGATTTAGCTCAGTGGCATAAGCACCTGCCTTGCGAGCAGATGGTTGGGAGTTTGATCCCTGGTACCGATAAAAAAATTAAAAAAAAATAAGAATGTTACAGTATTTGTGTTTACTTTTCAACTTTACAAAGTGATATGAAAAAAGGAATTATAGGTTTCTTTTCTTAGTACACATTTATAGAATATGGTTACATTCATTGTGGGAGCCACTACAGATTTTGACGTCTGTAAACAAAATACAAATTAATGTGTTTATTGAGTTTGTTTTCTACTATTGGGAACAGGAGCCATCATGCTGATGTGTGTTATGTATATATAGGCAATACAGAAGAGACACATAGAGGGAAGGAATGTAAGTGCCAGGGATACGGCTCAGTGGCATACGCGCCTGCCTGGCAAGTACAAGGTCCTGAGTTCAATTCCCAGAACCAAAAAAAAAAAACCAGAAAGAAAAGAAAAGAAACAAACAGTAAAAAGTCATTTGTTCATCTAAGGAGATAAAAATCCAGGAATTTTAACCAGCTCACCAACAGTAACATATCTCAATAGCTGGGATATCCAGGGTCCCTACTTTCTATGGAGTGTGAGTGAGTCCCAATTAAGTTTAAAAAAAAATCATCTCATCAATTAGAGCAAAAAAAAAAAAAAAATGTAGATTTAATTTATAGTTACAAGTGTCTGGCAACAAACTGGAAAACTTCTAGTAGCCAGATACCTAGCATCAATCTCTCCAGTCTGTTGCTACTGATGTGAGAGAGAACTAAGGACATCTATAAAACTGTGCTTCTGTGTGTCCTTGTACAAGAGCAGAACTAGCAGAATATTCATGAGCTTCCACAGAATACAAAATGAAAGTAATTAGCCATGTGTGTGGTGGTACATGTCTATGATCCCAGCAAGCCAAAAGAGAGGTAGGAGGACCACTAAGAGTTCAAGACCAGGGTGAACTAAGGGCAAGACATGCCTCAAAAAATGGAAAAAAAAAAAACTGACCAGAAAAAGGAGAGGCAGTGCAATGTATAATTATTTATAAACTTTTAATAGATTTTGTCTTTCAAAGAGGCCCATTCTTTTAGGGAACGAGTTTCCATATGGTCCATAACTGAACAGCTGTTATAAATGCTGTCACATCATTTACACATTATCAGTTAACTTTGTTTTTTTTTTTTTAAGGCTCTGACTTGTCTGTTGCCTTCCTTTTAGAACAAAATGTGCATGTCTTCAGCTGACAGCAAGAAATGCCAAAACTTCCCCCCTGTCAAGTGATAAAATAACTACTGGATATAAGTATAAAAGACTACAGAGACAGATACCTACCGGGTAAGATACTTTGAAGATTAGTTGCCCAGTATTTGTATTTGTATTTGGGGGTACTTTCTTTATTGTTGGCAGTCTCATGGATACTGTTTAAATCTGTTTCTACTACTAAAAATCCAAATTATTAAGGAATAATAATACAAAAATTCCCAATCTGTTGTCTTGGGAATGGAACTAAGAGACCACATATATATGTACAGTGCAGAAAATATTCAAACACTCATCTGTTTTAAATCTGACTCTTATCCTTCCCTGTAGGGTTGGCTTACTTTGGACAAGCATGTCCCATTAAGAAATCTACTTTTTGGTGCTCACCTAAGACTTAGTAATTTTCAACTTTTCAAAGTTGATACTGCTGAGTGCTGGATTACAAGGCAGGACCCTCCAGGGGGGCCTGAATTCAGGGGCCTCACATGGGAGTGCTGCCCTGTCACCACACTGCACCCCAGCCTCCGCCAGGCCGAGCCCTCCAGCCCAGCAACTGAGCAGTGGGAAAAGGTCATTGCTCTGAAATCTTGAATTGCGAGGTTTACAACTTTAGTTTTGATGGGTAGAGACCAAGATGGTGAAGTAGGAAGCTGCAGAGAGAACAACCTCTGAGAGGGTCGCCATCCAGACATTGGAATATAGCATCAGGAGGAAGACAAGACGAAGGCAACCACTTGACTGGTTCACTGGACCCAGGAAGGATCTGAGGTGAGAAGTGAAGCCCACAGAGAGAGTGAAGAGAAAACTTTGAATGAAGAAGAAGGTAAGCAGCAGTGCCTTCTCCCCGAGATGGGAGTCACTGCAGGAGAGGAGCTGTTTGAACCTGTGGACACAGCCATGGTGGTGGTGTGGTGACTGATGGCTGGCAACCTCAGAAGCCTCTGCAGAGAGACACAGCAGTGTAGGGGAGCAGCAGATATGGAACACTGCACTGGCTGGTGGCGAGTGCAGAGAATTTAAGTCTTGCTGCCGGGGACATCTATTGGCTTGGAGATGGGCTGGCTGAGCTCAGAACCCAGAACTGCTGTTGGCTCTATCTAGTAGATCCCAGCTGGGCTCAGACATGCAGAAATTGCTCAGAAAGCGGGGAGCCCACTATGTCTGGTCCCCAGGCAGGCCTGCTGAGATTATTTATTACTCCGCCAAAAAGCTACTGCTGGCTTGCTGGGATAAAGTGGCACAATACAAGACGCTGCCTCCACAAGTGGTTAACTAGTGAAACCAGAGAGAATCTTGGAACAGAGAGACCTGTTCTTCTTTTAATGTTTTTTTCCTCTTTCTCCTACATAGTTGTTATATGAGTGTGAACATGGTTCCTAGCCTCTTTCTGGGTGTTGTTTTCTTCTTCCATTTATCTTTTCCAACTCTTTTCCTTCAGTCTTCTTCACCAATTTCCCAAAGTTGGTGTGATCTCCTTTTGTTCTCCAATTTTACTTATAACCCCTTCCTCTTCTTCTAGGTCTCTATTTTCTCCTTAATCCATTTTAAATTTTAAACCACAAGGGCAAAATTGACACATTAAAGGCTTATACACTGCATATAATTTTCTGATGTTTTACATTTTATTATATAATAACAAATCTGGTTCATGCCATTAAAAATGGCAAATTAAGTGTTAGCTCAGTTTCTCATTTTCTAGGCTGTGTTTGATACTACTGGTACCACTGTATCCAAAATTGACATAATTCTTCTAAACAGCTGTTGGTCCATAACTGAGATTGACTAAGGGACTCAGAAAATACTGTGGCACAGTGCCAGAGAACCAGGGAAAATAGTGCTTCATCAGTTAGACAAAAAAAAAAAAAAAAAAAATCAATAATATTAGAACTAAAACTTAAAGAAATATACTTAATAGCTGTCTCTGGAGTGTCCCCACCCACACAACATCAGAATACACACTTTTCTCAACTGCACATGGGTCATTTTCCAAAATAGACTATATACTGGCTCATAGAACAAGCTTCAGTAAATGAAAAGGAATTCAAATTATCCCATGCACACCAACAGACCACAGTGCGGTGAAATCAGAAATCCATGACAAAAGAAACCACAAGAACTTCATAAACACATGGAAATTAAATAGCACCCTACTGAGCAACCAGTGGGGCACAGATGAAATTAAAGAAGAAATTAGACGGTTTTTATAGTTGAATGATAATGATAATACAACATACTGGAACGTGTGGTACACAATGAAAGCTGTCTTGAGAGGTAACTTGATAGTAGTAAATACTCATTACAAGAAAACAGGGCAAGTGCCTGTAAACAACTTAATGGTGAACTTCAAACTTCTAGGAAGAGAAGAGCAAGGGAGCTTGTACAAGGGAGAAAATCTGTAAAGATCAGAGCAGAAATGAACACACTAGAGACTAAAAAAAAACACAAAGCATCATGAATCAGAGTTGGTCCTTTGAAAGATTAAATAAAATTGACAAACCCTTAGCCAATCTTATCAAAAAAAGTCAAGACAAATTACACAATTAGAAATGAAAAGGGTAAAATCATAACATCCTGCAGAAAGCCAGATTACCTATCCCTAGTTTGAAAACTTGTATTTTAATAAGATGGAAAATATAAAAGAAATGGACAGATTCCTAGATACATATAAATTACCGATGCTGACTCAGGAAGATATAATTATCCTAAATAAACCAATATCAGTGAATTTGAAGATATTGCTAAAAACCTGTCAACAAAGAAAAGCCCAGGCCCTGATGGATTCACTGCTGAATTTTATAAGAAATTTAGAGAAGGCCTAACACCACAGCTTCTCAAACTCTTTAATGAAATTGAAAGGAAAGCAGTACTTCCAAATTCATTCCTTCGACCAAGCATTACTAAAATCAGAATAGGACTCAACTAAGAGAATTATAGGCTAATTTCCCTAATAAATATAAATGCAAAAATGCTTAACAACATACTGGCAAACAATGCAGCAAATTTTCAAGAAGATTATGGTTCAACATAATCCATAAATGTAATACACCGTATTAACAGAACCACAGTCAAAAATGATATCGTCATCTCAATAGATGCAGAAAAAGCTCTTGAAAAATTGCAGCCACCTATTCATGACAGAAAATTGGAATAGATGGATGGTTTTATCTCGATAAAATTCATGACAAGCCAACAGCTGCATCATACTAAGTGAACAAAAACTGAAAGCTTCCATTCCAAAATCAAAGACAAGACAGGGATGTCCGCTATCTCTACTCTTATTCAACGTAGTCCTAGAAACTAGCTGTAGCAATTAGACAAGAAAAGTAATAGGAAAAGAAGTTAAACTATCGTAATTTGCAGATGACATAGTACTCTACATAAAAGATCCCAAAAACCACCAAGAATACTGGAATTTGGGGGGGGGGGTACTAAACATTTTAAAACAGCTGATATTTACCATGTGCCAGGCATTATGTTGGGAATTTTGTAAATATTTGCTCAGTTGCTTTCACAGGATGTCCCTATAAACTAGTTACTATTATATAACCTCCATTTTCAAGAAACAGGTAAGCCAAGTGTGATGGCACCTATAATCCCAGGACTTGGGAGACTGAGGCAGGAGAATTGCCATGAGTTCAAGGCTAGGTTGGGCTACATAGTGAGTTCAAGGCTAGCCTGAATTTTGTAGGAGATCCTATCTCAAGATAAAACACAAAATTTATTAATTAAATAAAATAGATTACAAAACACACAGATGGTAAATGTGGAAGTTGTGATAGAAACCCAGTCTAGCACTGTAGCACTGAGCCTTCGTACATAGTGTACTTTTGTCAGTAATTACTGTGTCAGTGAAGTAACTATATAGATGGGTGTTTGCTTTGTTGAGGTGTCTGATTTTCTTTCTTGTATTGTTTTATTGACAGCATTTATGAATGTAGCCTGTTGTGCAAGTGTAATCGACAAATGTGCCAAAATCGAGTTGTCCAACATGGTCCTCAAGTAAGACTACAGGTGTTCAAAACTGAGAAGAAAGGATGGGGTGTACGCTGCCTAGATGATGTTGACAGAGGTACATTTGTTTGCATTTATTCAGGTAAAACAAAAGTTTATTTTCTAATTACTCTCCAATAAGATACACATTTCTGAATATACGTTTTCTTAGCTGGGATACTGAGATCTTATAGGAAGGTAAAGAACAATAGGATCTTGGAGAAGCATCAGAGAAGACAAATGATTGGTACTTAAGAATAATTTTGGGGAGGTGGTGTGGGGAATTGAACCAGGGCCTTGGCATCCCAGCTCTTTTTTATTTTTTTATTTTGAGACAGGATCTCCCTAAATTGCTAGGCTGGACTTGAACTTGTAATCTTTATGCCTCAGCCTCCCAGAGTTCTGGGATTTCAGTTATACACCATAGTGCCCAGTTAACAATTTTTAAATAAATGTCTGCCTTTGATGGTTCAGATTTTTATATACTGTTAGGTGACTCACTTGGTTTCAAGGACTCCAGATGTTATCCATGCTTATTCCAAAGCAGTGTGCTACAATTATGTATTTATTGATTCTTTTGAACCATGCTTCCAATGCCATACATATTCTCTAGTTACATCGTCCATTGACTTCATCATGTCAGATAAAAAATTCACATTTCTGTGATTCAAGAAAATCCACATTTCTTACTGCGATGTATGAAAGGTTGGGAAACATGGCTAAAAGAAATATGCTAGATGGAGTCTTAGCAGCTAATGAGTAAGGACTGAACCAATCTGCTCATCTGAAATTCTCAGTTCAGTCCAGAAACAGTGCAAGAAGCAGCTCACAGAGTTATCAGAATTCATAGTCAAATTTGGATCTCTGTGCACACCACTTGTGTGTACATATACTACACAATGTACCTAGACATGCTTATTTCTCAAAGTAACTCTTGAATGGAAGCTGCTTATAAAATACCAATGGTGTCCTGGGAAGTATCTTTGGCAGTATCTGCATCCCTAGAAAATGTACCTAAGATATCTCTCTGATCTACTAAGCATGGATAAGAATATCTGACTGCTAATTCTGAGCTGCTCACTGTAGTTTTGAATTCCTCGGGGGAAAACACATGAACTTTAGGCTGGGATTTTACTGTCATGCAGGACTTGATATTAAAACAATAGGTATTTATCACCACTGTTTGAAATGGGTCATTTTTGGCCTGTTAATGACAAATGTACTTGAGAAGCTGAGGCAGGAGGTTCACTGTGAGTTCAAGGCCAGTTTGGAATACGTAAGTTCAGGGGCAGCCTGTATTACATAGAGATCCTGTTTCAAAAACAAAACAAAATGGTCATTTTCTAAACAACTGTTAGTGTCAAATGATAAAACCTTTTTAACTAGATACAAAAGTTGCAATTTTAAGACTATGTACAACTCTGCTGGAATATTTTCTGGTTCTTTAAAGTTATATTACTACCAAAGCATGATTCCTTTTTTATGCTATACCAAAATGAACAAATGCTTCTTTGAAATACTCATTTTTTTTTAATGCATGGAAGATAGATTCCCTCATTGGTGTGTTGGCATTTGTTTGAGGTTTAGATATCTTACAGCAGTTTTCTAGGATGTTAATGTGTTATCTGCCTTCCAGAAGTAAGATTCACACAGCATAAGGCTTGTCATAGAGCAGAAAGAGAGATGTCCATTTGTTTTTAGCAATTACATTATCTTCTGCCTTGGTCAGACTCTTACTGTTTTCTTTTAGGAAGGTTGTTGAACAGAGCTAACCCCAAGAAACCTAATGCAGTTGATAAAAATGGAAAAGAAGAGACTATTATGAAAAATATATTTTCAAAAAAGAGGAAAATAGAAGTTACACATTCAGATTGTGAGGCTGAAGTTACCCCATTAGAACTGGAAACACATCTTAGAAGTGCTAAAACTGAGGACTGTCCACTTAAGTCTAGTAATAATCCAGAAGAGCTCGTGATGTAAGTAAGAGTTTAGAAATACAATTAGAGTGAAGTCTAAGTTACGCATCGAGTGGTTCTTTATCCCTAAACCCCACTCCTATATATCATCTTGCTTCAAATGTTGTAAACTTAACACTGAGAAATCTAGGATACTTATTTTTTATGGATGCCATGTTTTGCTGTCTATTTAATATCATGATTCTATATCTAAAGTTTATAGGTTCTCTTTTTTAAATATGCCTCAGAAATTACTTACTTTGAACTATGATTATGTTTCTTTCAGTAATGAGCAGTATGCATAGTTGTTTTTACATAAATTAATTTGTAATGATATATTTAATAGTAATATTGCCTGTAATTTCAGGGTTCAATGAAGGGAATTTTCAGCACTATCCCAAATAATTTTTTGTTGTTGTTTTCAGGAAAATGAGTTGTCACAATATTTCAAGAATTCAGTATCATTCAGTTAGAAGTCCTAGATCCAAGACAGTCATTTTTCAACAGAGTGGAAAACAGAAGGTAAAAATTATAAAACGTAGATAGAAGCTCTTCTGAGAGCCTCTCTTTCCTTAGTTTAAAATGTTTATGTGACTTAATAGTTTATACGATTTTTTTGTATTGTTTTGGAATTGTTAAGCTGTTGAAGGTGTTACGACATGTTTTATTTACTTAGTATTTTCTATAGCAGTTGGTATGTTTCCAATTCAGATAAATAAGGAGTCATGTCCTGACAGTGGTCTCTCCTGAGACTTGAGACTGTCTGAGTCTGAGAATTTGTGGGAAGTGCTAGTGTTCAAAATGAATAGTGATATATAATAATCAAAATGGTACAGCAATTTAGATTAAGAAGAAGGTATTGAGATAGGACAAAGAAAAGATGTAACTTTATAAAGGAATTATCCAGAAAGCATTTATATGGCAACCTATGAGGGATACATTTTGATACTAGTCAAACTTGAAGCAGAAACAGACATAATGATAGCATACAGTAGGCCTTGTTCATACAAAATAAAAACTGCTCTACATGTCGTATAAATATTTGTCATCAGTTTACTAACAGTAAATACCTTGTCAGTGTCATATAGTATATGAAAGATTGGGCCTTGAGGTCAGAAAGACCTGAGTTCAGCCTCCAGCTTTTCTGCTTATTAGCTGGGTGATATCTCCTACAGATTAACGTCAAAAACCTTGCTTAGCAAAAGGCTTGGCACTCAGCTGAGCATTCAGTAAATGTTCAATTCAAATGCTAAGAACCTAAGGAAAAAATAATGGTTGCCATTTAGTCAACAATTAGTTGGGTGATGAACGTTATCCTAAGCATACAATATAACTCTCTTTTAAATTTACCACTGAAAGTGATTGCAGTATTTACAATGCATAAAGACAAACAACTTCTTTACTCTTTTCTTTGAAATAAAAACTAGCTAATGTTTTTTATCTTTGTGAATTTACAGTTGAAGCTAAGCTTATAGTCTTGTATCAATATTTTTTCAGTACTGAGGATGATTACAGCTGAGATACAGACATGTATTGGATTTTAATGCCCAAAGAATGTCTTAACAGTCTTTGTAGATATGGTGTAATAAAATGCCTAGGGTAGAGCGCAGACAAAAGAGTGAGATATGTTGGCTCCATTTGCCTAAAGACTCCTTATGAATTCAGCTTTGATGCTTTTCAAAACTGATGTATCATAACACACTATGAAGACTGACACTTGATGAAAGAGGCCTAACTGCTAAATATTTTGTCTTGATCTAGAAAGTAAAATCTCTTTTTTACTTCTTTTTAAGGAACTTACTTCCTTGGATTCTGTCACCTCTGGAGAAAACAATGGATTACTGAATTGTAAAGCCAGGAGGAAACAAAGTAGGCTTTGCTCAGTTTTGCTGCGGTTGCCTGCCTCTTCTGCTTGCTGCTTGCTTGTCAATCTCTTGCTCCCTTTTGTGGCTCTTCCTCCAAGATTTCATAACAAACTTCATTTGTCACAAAAGTTATAGATCAGCGAGGCAAACTATGGTTTGTGGGCCAAATCTGGGCTGCCACTTTAACAAGTGGCACTTTAACAAGTATGGCACATGGAGGAATGACTTTTAAATAGTTGAAAAAAAAAACAGGGGAATATATTTCATGACACTTAAAAATTAAATGAAAATAACAGTGCCAGTGGCTATAAATTTTTATTGGAACATTGCCACAGTTGTTCATCTGCATATTGTTTGTACTTTATACAGTATCAGCTAAAACAGAATACTTACAAAAAAAGGTACATGGTAGCCGAGCCTGAAATGTTTGTTCTTTGGTCCTTGACATAAGAAGTTTGCTGACCTTTTGGCCTGATTCATAGTGTACATGTCTGATTCTGTGTGATCCACAGATGTTGTCTGTGGCTTTGGAGGCACTTTCCAAAGCAGCTACTTTCTGTTATTTTGAACTCTTTAAAAAATAAAGACAGATCACTCTTTTGCAGTAGTTCAGACATCACCACTAAGGGAATGCCCATCATGACTAGTGAAGGGTTAAAATATTAGTACCCTGAGTGCTTGTTTGCAGTTACCATCCCCTGGCATACTGAATGGTACAGCTGGGGAAAAACCTGGTTTATGATACTTTTGCATTTCAGTATCTCCCTCAACAGAGAAACATTGTCCTAGGGGAGTTCCTTTTTTGAGGAGCTAACTGTTGCTGCCTCTTTTCCCTTTGAGCCTCCTTGTATCTGTAACCATGGCTCCCTACCTCGCACTAAATGATAGAGACTGGGGAAAGCATGGCAGCTTCTTGACAGAAAATTCTATTAAGAAAGGGCATCTTCTATATTATATTTATTTCACCATTTAATCTGTGTGAGCCATAATAAGTTGCTTTGGTTCTTCTGCCATTTTCATTGACAACCATAATGCATATAGCAGGCAATCCAGTGTTGTAATTGTATAACTAGAATGGCTTACAAGTAACCCTTGATTAAAATACAACTACTGGGGGCTGGGGATTTAGCTCAGCGGCACAAGTGCCTGCCTTGCAAGCGCATGGTCGTGAGTTCAATCCCCAAGTACCCATTAAAAAAAAAAAATACAACTACTGCAGAAATAACGGCCACAACAGGACTGAGTAAATCAAGATCCTTAAAGATTTCGTTTTAGTATTTTTTTATTTTTAATTGATAAATTATAGTTACATATATTTATGGGATGGGGTACAGTGTGACAGTATATCGTACAGTGTGTAATGATCAGATCAAGGTAACTGATACATTTATCAAATCAGACACTGATCATTTCTTTAGGTTGGCAACATTTAAAATCGTCTCCGTTGTTTTGAAATATATAACTAATTTTTGCCAACCATAGTTAACTATATATAGGACATTATAGAATATCAGAACATTGGAAGTTACTCTAATATATCTATATCTTTAGAACTTATTCCCCCTGCCCAGCTGCATTTGCTAACCATCCTCTTTTTACCCCCTTTCCCCCGTACCCCCAGTCTCAGGTAACCATATTCTGTTCTAGCTTCTGTGAGATTACCTTTTTAATCTCTTAATTTCCTTGTGCCCCTGCATTTGGTGACACAAGCTTTCACTTATCCCATCTGACATTTATTCATGTTTTTAAATACTCTCAGAAAATTGTTTTCATTATTGGGCAAGAAAAATAATTTAAAGACTTCATCTATTTTGAAGTATTGTTGTTTATAAAGTATACTTATTAAATGATTATCTGGCAGAAACCAATCCCACTCTATTGCATGTATTTAGAATATAATTAGATGCAAATTTCAGAGTTAAAGTTTGTTAACAATAGAAATTAAATGTAGTAATGACGAAGCAGCCTGGAGATTCATTAAAAAATAATACCGCTTTATAGAAGTATTATATAGAAAGAAAGCACTTTGTGAGCCAGTTTGTGGTTGATTGTTTCCCTGTTCTAATGTTACAAGTCAGGCAAACCTGTTTTAACTCTGAGAATTAATTTTTTTCTTTGTAAAACTAAAGAAATATTACCACTTTTACAAATTGTAAAGATTCGTAATAATTAAAGCAACTAGCATCTAATTAGTGTTAATCTCACCACTGTTGTTCAGTCATATATATTTCTTGACAATTCCTTCCTGACAATGTCTATCAGAGGACTCAAGTTCAAACCAAGTTGGCGATTTTAAAGACCTTCAGCTGCATGAATCAGATGTGATAGATATAACTAAATGTGAAGAAGAAAGTCCACCAGGGGATAGATGTAACCCAGCAACCACAGCTGACAGTGAAAATATTGAAAAAGACTTTGAGGTTCAAATAAAAACACCCCAAGAAGAAAAATCTCCAGCACGTCAAAAGCAGTGGGCCTTGTCTAATGATGAGTTGCTAAGTGAAATAAAGAATACTTCATCTACTTCTCCAGTGAAGTCCAGTGAAAGCAACATGTTTTTACTGGATGCCACAAAAGAAGGAAATGTGGGCCGCTTTCTCAATGTAAGTATAGGTGCTGAGATTTATATTTCACAATAACTTTTTCCCTGTGTTGCTTTTAAAATGTCATAAGAAAAATACAATTAACTGATTCTAAAGCCAGAACCTAAGTTAGCGTTTCAGTGTTCAAGTTGTGTGTCCGGAATGTTCCTTAACAGCTAATGTCTCATTAATACTGCTATAATTTAGGAATAACTGTTTAGGATGTTGTAAGGAATTAACATGCTTGAAATTGACTAGTAAACAATTGCTTAAAAAAAAACCTCTAAAAGATGGTTCTGTAAGAAAAGTATGTAAGTACATTAAAAAGTTTTGAAGCCTACTTGCCCAAGTTGAAAAAGTATATGGTCAGGAAGAAATTGTTGAGATGGCAGACTTGGCATTGTAATGAGTCTTGTGTCAGATGAGTGTTTTGAGATGGTAGCTGTTGTAACCCCCCAAAAAAGCAAGGCCCCATGATGAAAAATGGGGCAAGACCCCCAAGATGATAAATAGGACAAGACGACGTCTTTTTTTAAAAGAAGTGCTTTTATTTTAGCTGGCCCAGCGACACAGTGCAGATGGAATTTGCAAAGCTGTGCAACTGAGTTAGAATTTTGACTGATTTTTATAGTTCATTTATGATTAGCTCATTGATCATTAAGTATATAGTTATGAGAAACAGAAACAAGGTGGGCCTTTGTTCCCCTTTGCTTGAGGTCAGAGACATTTCACAGTGGGTGGTTAGCCAACTCATAGTCCTTGGTCTGCCAATTCCAGGAACATTTGTCTCTCCTAAGGGAACAATGGTTAACACAGCTTCATTTGTCTCTTACAAGGGGAACAAAAGTTGACACAGCAAACAGGTTACTAAGGTGGGGGGGAACAGCTCATACAGAACAGCATGACTTGGCGGTCAGTTAATTTATAACAATGTGGTAGGTGCTCCAGGTACATGGTTACTAGGGCAATAAGCATAGAGCATAACAGCAGCTGGTAGGTAAGTAACAGTATCAGAAGTTGGAATAGTGGTAATGTGAAGAAAGAGTATGATCAGTATAAGTAATGCCTGTATTTAGCAAAGAAATCAGTTGTTCATATGTCTTCCCTCCAGAGGTTCTGTTTTATACTAGAATGTAAAAATTAAAGAGAGAGAGTGTATCTGTTTTGTTTTGTTTTTTTTTGCAGCACGGGGGATTGAAGTCAGGGCCTTCATACTGAGCTATATCTCCAGCCCTTTTTTATTTTATTTATTTATTTATTTACTTATTTTTGTCTTTTTCCTTTTTATTGGTACCGGGGATCGAACTCACGACTGCCTGCTTACAAGGCAGGTGCTTATGCCGCTGAGCTAAATCCCCAGCCCCCCTTTTTTATTTTGAAACAGAATCTCACTGTTTGGCCTCGGCCGGGGTCAAATTTGTGATTCTCCTGCCTTAATATTCCAGATTGCTGGAAATTACAGGCCTACATCAATATGATGTATATTTTTCGTATTTTTTGTGCTCAGCATGGCAGTACACATCTTTGATCCCAGATCTGAGAGGCTAAGACAGCTGGATCACCATGAGTTAAGACCAGCCTGAGCTACATAGTGCGTTTAAGACTAGCCTAAACTACATAGATTGATCTTGTTTCAAAAACAAAACAAAACTTCTCTGTGAAAACTGTTTGTGAAAAAAAAAAATAATTTAAAAGCCCTACAATGAGAAGTACCACACCCTCATCCACCTTTCTCCTCACTCTACTTTTATGACTTTCTTGTGTATTCTTCTAGTAGTTCTGCAAAGTAAATGTATGTTTTTATCCTTTTTATATATAAAAATAGCATATTACATTGGCTGTCCTACATTTTATTTTTTTAAATTAATGGCATATCCTGGAGAGCTTTACATATCAGTACACAAAGAGAACAACGCATTCTTTGTTTGTTTGTTTGTATGTCTTATTTTATAATTGCACAGGATTCCACTGTGTAAGTATGCTGGTTTATTTGAGCAGTCCTCAGGTAGGCATACATTAGGGTTGTATAAAACCCTTGTTTAAATCAGTGTTCTGTGAATAAATTATAGACACATGCAGATGAATCTGTAGAATGCATTTTAAGTACAGGGTTGGTAAATCAAAAAATAAATGCACTTATAATAATGGGAAGTATTAATACAATGTCTCCAGCTTTTGGTGCCATTTTGTAATTCTTCCATCAAAATATCAAAGTCTCTGAAGAGCTTTTCAGAGCTGGAGATGGCAGCAGATGCCCATAATCCCAGCACTTAAGAGATTGTGGCAGGAGGACAGCTGAGAATTTGAAGCCAGCCTGGCTACACAGTGAGTTCAAGGCCAGCCTGAACTATATATAGCAAGACCTTGTCTCAAAAGCAAAAAGCAAAACTAGAACAGAGCTTTCTGAATAGGCTTCTGTTGTATTAATGGAGCTGTTATGTGTTATAGTTTTTTTATATATTAGCACAGAAAGCAGTGATGTATTAGAAACAGAATGGTATTCTAATGCTGTAAAGCACAAGTTATTGTATTTTATCCTATATCTAACCTCTGTGTTTAATTTTTTTACAGCATAGTTGTTGTCCAAATCTCTGGGTACAGAATGTTTTTGTAGAAACACATGACAGGAATTTCCCATTGGTGGCATTCTTCACCAACAGGTTTGAATAACTTTGCTTATATGAATTAACTCTGAAATCATGACTTTAAAAATAATACTGTAGCCAGGCATGGTTGATTGAGGCAGAGATAATCTCAAGTTTGAGTCTATGCTACACAACTTAGTAAGACCCTGTCTCAATTTTAAAAAAGCTCAGTGTCAAAACCCTGGGTTTGATCCATAGTACTAGGGAAAAGAAAAAAAAGAAAAAACATGAGAGGAGACAATGTATAGTATAATTCAAAATACCTGGTACCCTAGAATATAGCACTCAGCCTAAACTGTTCCTAGTCAATAAAATAAATGACAGGAAATGACAAAAGAATGCTCTCTCCTCTAGTCAAGACTCTTCCCCATCCTCTTCCATATAAAAGCTTCACATTTGCCCAACACACCTCCTTATAGATATTAGCAGTATCCTTTTTACTTAGGACTTAGGTAAATTTGGGATAAAACTCAATTCAACTGGTAGGTGTCAAAGGAGAAAGAATGGATATTTTAAAGATGGTAGCATGAAATTCTCATATTCAAGTTTGATTCATGTGTTTTTATTTAGAGTGATTTGTGATTATTTTTAATTTCTATTTTGTTAGGTATGTGAGAGCACGGACAGAACTAACATGGGATTACGGTTATGAAGCTGGGACTGTGCCTAACAAGGAAATCCTCTGCCAGTGTGGCGCTAATAAGTGTAGGAAAAAAATACTGTAATTATGTTCCTAATGCCCGTCTTGAAATTAGTGTTGTAGGCTGAAATCAGAGCCATACAAAAGAACTCTTAATTATTAGTAGAATTTCGGTGGTGTCCACCAAGGTAATTCCTCTGTTCACCCTGTTCAAGGGTTTTCTATTTCCTGACTTTTTGTTTTTGTGGTGTAGAAATGTCAAGAACAAAATAAGGACATTTTCAGACACATCAGGTAGCTCTTGTTTTTATTGTTGTTCAACTTTACATGAATAAAAGTGTATTTTATATGAAATTACACTATACAATTGGTAATTTATTTGTAAATTATATATTTAGAAAACTGAAGGTCACAATAGAATTTAGCTGTTTTTAAAGTTCCTTCAGGTTTCTATTCCTTTTTGTATTTAAGGAAAAACTGAAAGAAAATTCATTTCAAAAAGTGTGATAGAAATTTACTCAACAGTTTCTTTGCCCCACTTAGATAGCTGATGGGACATTGTTTCATGAAAAAGATATAACTTCAGATGTTGAAATATTTGGGATATAGCTAGGCATGGTGGCACACTTAAGAGGCTGAAGCAAGAGGATCACCATGTGGTCAAAGTCAGTCTGTACTCGGTAGTGAGACCCTGTCTCAAAAAAAAAGGAAAGAAAGAAAAAGATTGGGGAAGATAAGATATTTGCTTAGCAAGTATGAAGCCCTGGGTTCAATCTCCAGCACCACAAAAAACAAAACTAAACTAAAAACAAACAAACAAAAAAACTTTGGAAGTTATGTGCACAAAAACTAATTTATAGGATTTTCTCTGTCACAGTGTTCTGGTCCTTTTACTGGGTGTCTGGTGAGAGCTTGCAGTCTGAAAACTTAAGTCCTTCAGTACAGGAAAATTGTCTCAAACTATTTCTATAAGGATTTCTCATTAAGAGAAGACTATAGAATTCCTGTTACGTAAATAATGTATTCCTGCAGGACTGGTTCTCTCATTTTCATTTCCAGCTGTCTTTCTGCTCCTTTTTTCTGGAAACTTTCCTCAACTTAACCTTCAAATTCATCTATTGCATTTTGTTTTCCTTGCCTCATTTTAATATCTAAGTGCATTTCTTCGAATATTTTCTTTAATAGCATTCTATTGGGTCCACAGTTTCAACATTTTCTCTCCCTGAAAGTAGTGTTTATGGGTGTGTGTATACCACATAGTGCATATACAGTAATACCTTAGTTCACGAATGCTTATGTCTGCAGATAATTAATTTCTTAAAAGTATTCTGCAGAATTTTGCTTCCATTCTTCATCTGGTGACAAACACAACCACGGTCATCTTCCCCCAAATCGTAAAATCGTTTGTAAATGGAGATACCATTGTGTATACACACATTCATATGTGTATTTTTCCTGCTATATTCACTGTTGTAGTTTCATTTTCCTTGTATATTTGCTTTGATCTTTTATTTTTTCATGTTACAGATTTTCCTCAGAATTTACAGTTATTGGTGACTTACTGATGTTTCAGAGCGGAGCAGGGGCCCTTGGGCTGCTTGATCATGGCCTATCTGAGCTGTTTTGTTGAGAAGTTTCCTGATGTTAGTGTGTTCAGGACTTTGTTTTTGTCCTCGAAACGGTTACTCTTTCATCCTCTTACTTGGAAGACAACTTGTGTGCTAAGGCCTGCTTATTTCTATTCTTGTAACTTCTAACCTTTAATCCATCTTAAAGATGGTCAAGACTAAGCTGCTGGATTTAGTATAGTTTCTGTTTTTTGATAGCTCGCATTTTTGCCCCTTAGGCTCCCTCAAAGTATAAGACCTTCAGGGTCTGGGGTGTAGTCAGCGGCACAGTGTCTGCCTGGCCAGTGGGAGGTCCCGAGTTCCACTGTGGCTGCCAAAAAAAAAAAAAAAAGTACAAGAAGTTTCCCTTAGATTAGTTCATGAACAAATCAACTATTATATACTGCTTTTACGCAACTCTTTTTTCCTTTCATTCTTTCCCCCTCCCTCCTTTCTTTCCTTGCTTCCTTCTTTCTGTTCTTTTTTGAAAACAGGTTGTCACTGTTTGTCCAGGCAGAGCCCAAGACTTGGGATCCTTCTGCCTCACTCTCCCTCCCTAAATAACGGGATTACGGCGTGCACCACCGCGCCTCTAAGATTACAATTTAGTTGTATGTATCTATGTTTGTCTACATGTATATTTGTTTACACGCACTGAGAACCTCGTTTGGTATGGTGCTCTGTACCCCGTGGGTGCTAAATAAAGGCTTGCTACCACAACTGCATTTAGGTTCCATTAATTCTGCCTCCGTTTAGAAGGTGAACATTAGCTGTTCAATAGGCTGAACTCGGTGTGATGTTTTCAGCAGAAACCTTCGGAAGAGCCGCCGCTGCTTCGGCGGCGCCGGCTTCGGGGTGTCCCTCCTCCTGAGCGGTGCTGGGCTCCGCGAGCGGGACTTCCCGGGCGGGCGGGGCGGGCGGATCCGGGAGGGGCGCGGGGCGCGCCGGGATGTGAGCACTTCCGGACCGCGCTCGGCCTCCGCCGTGGCCAGCATGGCCCAGGCCGCCCTGCTGCAGCGGGACCAGGTTCCTCTCGCCACCGGTGAGTACACGCGCGACGTTCGGCGCGCCCCTCCCAGCCCGCCCGCCCGCCCGCGCGGGCGCCTCCCCGGCGGCTCCGCCTGCCCGGGCGCGAGTGCGGCGCGCGGCGCTCCCTCTGCCGCCGCGGAGCCGCGGGGCTGCCGGCCGCTTGGAGGACACCCGCGGCCCTCCGGCGCCGCCCCACCCGCCCACGGCGCGGGCGCTGCGGAGAGCGCTTGCGGGGGCGGGTGGTCGGCGCCGGCGCCCCCAGGCCTGCCGTGACGGCGCGCCCGCAGCGCTGCGGCCTTCCGCCGGGCCTCCCGACCGGCTGCGTCGGGGCGGGTGCGCCTCCTGCTGCCCGCCGGACTGGGGCTGGCTTCTGAGCTACCCCCGCGCCAGCGTTAGTGACGGCGCTTAGAGCCGCGCGGATGCCGCCTGATGGTCTGCGGAAGCGTTTTGAAGCAGAGGGCGTTCGATCTTGGTTTTAAAAGGCAGGAGTGAGCAGCTGGGGTTGTAGGGCTGTTCCGGACAGAAGGTGGTGCAAACGGGGCCCCGAGCCGCAGATCATCTGGCAACTAGACACCAACCAATCGCATTCAGCTTGTGCGTAAAGACACCACAGCATCAGGAGGAGTCAGGGAGGTGATGTCCTCTTCACCCAAATCCAGAATGGTACACGCAGCTTCTTCCTCATCTGCAATGATCTCAAACTGAGCACATCCCAAAGAACACTCTCCTGTTTTCCCAACTCTGTCAAAACCTGCCAGCCACCATCGCTCCCATTTCATTTACCGGTTATCAGGCCCCAAACCTTAGCGTACCCTCAGCACTTGCCTCCCAGTACCCCGTGTCACAAACCCCTCTGCCAGCCCAGCCGTCTTGGCTTCCGAATGTGCCAGAGGTCAGGCGTGACCCTCCAGCTCCGTTACTACCGTCCAGTCCTGGGCTGTGTCTCCTGGCTTCTGCTGCCTTCATACGGGCAGAGGTGCACATCAGCCAAACTGGCCTTGGAAATACAGGAAGCAAGGTCAGTCTTCTCTGAACCCCCAGTACCCTCTCATTTCCCTCAAGTGTATTCGTTTGCGGTATAGAGGTGAACATAACTGCCTTCCTTTGACCTCAGGATACATAGCCTGGCTTACGTTCACCCTTGTCCTTAGGATTTGACTTTGCCTGTTTTAATGACTTTGCCACCTTCTGCTGTTTTTGTGTGACCTCCGCAGCTAGGCCTGCCTCAGGATGTATTAATAAAGTTCCCACCCCGATTCATCCAACTACAGAGTTACTTGCTTTCTCCGGTCAAGAAGAATAAATGAGTTGACAGGCAGGATGGGGGAGGGAGGAATTTAGCTCCGCGGGAGTTCCATACCCCGTACCAAAAAAAAAAAAAAAAAAAAAAAAAAAAAAAAAGAGGTAGGATGTTTTATTTTGTTTTCAGACAGGGTTTCACTGTGCAGTCCAAGCTGGATACTTCAACTCACTGTGTAGCTCAGGCTGGCCTCCAACTCACAGCAACTCTCCTGCCTCAGCTTCCAGAGTGGTGGGATTACAAACATGCACCACCATGCCTGACAAGAGCCAGGATCTTTTAGGATACTATAATACAGAGTATTTTAGTTTTTTAAAAAATGTCATTAGGGGAAGACTGTGTCCCACGTCAGGTTTCTACCCATTGGTCACATTAGTATGGTCACCACTTGTGGATTCCTAGATGCTGAGATCCTAGGAACCCAGTACTTGGGACTGCAGCTTAGCTATGGGCCACACAACGAACCTGTCCGCAGTGCCCCTGGCTGCACGTAGAAAAGAGACACTGAGCGAAAACGTCCTGATGTTATACAATAGGTATGAGTCAGTTTCAGATAGTGTGATTGTAGACGTGGGGGTCAGGAGTTGGCACTAGTAATTTAACTGCCTGATTTACTTTTAAGCCTTGGGGGTTTTATGGGGAGGAGTTTTTTGGGGGGCTTTGGTGCTGGAGATCAAATGTAAAGATGTAAATAATAATGTCTGATGTGACGGCCTTTTAAATAAGACCACAGTGTTTTACTGAAGTAGACTTTGGGCCTTGAGGTGATTAGAATATTGGAATTTCCCCTTCTCCCAGTTTTATCCTAGGTCAAGAGACTTTGTATTGTCAAATATTAAAATATATTCTCAAGCAGTAAAAAAAAACTTTTTGTTTTAAGATAAGGTCTTGGGGCTGGGGATTTAGCTTAGCAGCATGAGCACTTGCCTTGCAAGCTCGGGGTCATGAGTTCAATCCCTTGTACCAAAAAAAAAAAAAAAAGATAAGATCTTGCTGTGTAGTCCAGGTTGGCCTTAAACTCATGGCAGTCCTCCTGTCTCGCCCTCCTGATTGCTGGGATTACCAGGATGTACTCTTGTACCCAGCGGTCAAACAGTTTTTGTGTGTTGTATTGATAGAGGAAGGTTAATGGAACAAAGAAGAAGAACAGGAGCAAAAGATTTTACAAAATTCCATACTAATATTTCAATGTAAGAAATAAATTGTAGAAAATAAATGTTTTCTAAGGTGGTCCCCTTACCCAAGAGTAGAAATGATAAAAACTTAAAATTTCATCAAATATAACTTTGAAACATTCTTTATACTAAAGAACATTATAAACAAGTTAAAAGACCACATACATTACTGTCAAAGTGTTTCTATCCTGAGTACACAGCAAACTCTCACAAACCAAAAAGTAGAAATTCAGTAGTAAAATTAGGATGCCAGAGAAGAAATGCTAATTTCTCACATATTAAATGCACAACGGAAGCTCACGGTCCACTTCTGCTCTGTGTTCTTCCCTCTGATTTGCTCGTCTTAATCTGTCCTAGCTACACCCTGACAATAGGTTTGTCAGGTAGGTAGATAACCTCTCCTGTCTTCCTATGTTTCTACTTTTCTTCACTGCCTGTGACCATTAATTTTTCTAAATAATCAGTTTTCTCAAATTTTTAAAAATAATCTTCTTGGGATTTTGATTAAAATTACATTAAGCCTAAAGCTTATTGGGAGGTAGAATTGATGTCATTATAATATCCAAGTTTTCATTTTCAGGAGTAAAGAATTTCTCTCCATTGGTCAAAACTGACCATCTTCAAGTAACTTCGGGGTCTTGTTCTTCCCTGCTCCAGAAAGTCCAGTGGCTTACTCTCTCCTGTTCAGATTCTTGCCCTTGTCCCCTAAGGTTGCTTCTGCCCGCATTGTCCCTCCTTCTCCCCCTCCACATGGTGGCAGCTCAAGGTCCACAGCCTTGACAGCTCGACTGCCCACAGGGAGCCCCTCCTCTGCCCCCATACTGTTTATTGTACTTCTGTTCACTGTGCAATTACATTACTTGGTGGCATTTTTCTGTTATTTTATTTCCCTAATTGCTACTTTGTCTCCTTGTTTATTTTGTAACCCTCTTACAGACTTCTCTGTTTCACATTTCTTGGTAGCTTGTTTGCTCTTCAGTACAGTAGCCAATCACCATATGAGAGTTTTGAGCACTTAAAAATGGCTCTTGGTCCAATTGAGATGACACTGTAAATTTTTGAGACAGGGTCTCAGGAAGATGCCCAGACTGATTGAATTTGCAGTCTGCCTTAGCCTCCCAAATAGTTAGAATTACAGACGTGTGCCACCATGCAGAGCTATAATGTACTTTCAAAAATTTTTATTAGTACATATGCACAGTGCATAACGTTTATGTTCCCTGTGGAAAGTTGACAGGTGTACATAATATATCTGAATTCTTTTTCATCCCTTCCTCTCCCACCCTGGGTCCACCTATCTCTTGATGCCTCTGCTGGTGGGGAGGCGGGTTGTCATTGTGTTTTGCATGTTTGTAATACATACTATTTACCCTCCTTGTGTGAAGTTGGTACATGTACATAACACATCCCAATTTCTTTTTTCATCCCCTGTTCCTTCCTTCTTTCTCCTCTCCCTGATGCACTAGTGAGCACATACTATTGAATTTCAGACTCAATGAGTGAATAAATAAATGATTCTCGTATTTATTAAATATCAATATTAAATATTGAAGGGAGGTGTCTTTGGATATAGTTGATGGAATTAAAATATATTATTAAAATTAATTTCACCTGTTCCTTTTTTTGTGTTTGTGATACGACTTCTAGGAAGTTTTCATTGACACCTGTGGCTCACCTTGTTGCTGGCCCTGTTCCTGCTGGCTAGCACTGCTCAAGAGTGCCTGACACAGGGACTCACACACAAGAAGTGGTCCCAAGCTGTTGGTTGTTTGAGATTGATGAAAACTAGGTGGCCCATTTCATCTGAGCAGTTTTATTTATTTTTCTCAGATAGGACCTTACTGTGCAGTCCAGGCTGGCCTTGAACTAAGCAATCCTCTTGTCTCATTCTCTGGGCAATTTTGACTCTTCCTTGATTGTAGGGGAATGTGGGACTACTAGTTAGTATCCTCACTGGACAGGAACCAAATTCAGAAAATAAATGAATTATGGAAGAAACTCTTCAGAATGTGGAATACTAGCTTCAAATGCAGTCGTCTCTAACTTTGTAAATAACCCACTCAGCAAGGAAGGGAAGAAAGGTGGGAACTTTCACTAATAATGGCAAAGTAAATTGGCTTCAAAACTAAAATCTGAATATTAAATGTAGAGAACTACTATAGAGAACCAAAGGAATAAGGGAATGAGCGTTACAATAGGCAAAAAAAAATTTTTTTTTAATCTTAAACAGATGCCAGTGGCCAGAGTAATAGCAAATTAACAGATTAGAGAACTTTGCCTCCTCACTGACAACATGGGTGGGAATCTTCCTAACATCTGGCTTTTTGCAGCTATCCTATTCCCCTTTCTTCCTGGTTCTTTTTGTTCCTCTCCTAAAACAAAAAACAAAATGAAACCTATCTTTGTGAATCTTTCTCTCCTGGTTAATTATAATACTGAATTAAAGCACATTTAAGTTACCCTGCTCATTTACTTAATTCTTCTGCAGTTAATTTTTGCATATAGTGTGGCATAGAGATGTAATATTGTTACATAGTTAAGCAAAGCACTATTTCTTGAATACTTCATTGCTTGCTGACTTACAATGACAAAGAGCTTGCTCTGAACAAGGTGATCTTTTTTGAGAGCCTTGCTTGTGTTTATATTCCTGGTTATTCCCCCCCACCCCCACCCCCTGTTAGTTTTCAAAGATTTTCCTTACTTTTAGGCATTTTTAAATGAACTGTTTCTTCTTTTATTAATAAGGCCATTTTAAAATACAGAATTGAGACCGGGGCATAGTGGTGCACACCTGTAATCACAGCACTCGGGCGGATGCAGCAGGAAGATTGCCACGAGCTCAAGGCCAGCCTCAGCTTCATAGTGAGTTCAAGGCCAGTTTGAACTATATAGTAAAACCCTGTCTCAAAGAAAAATAAATAATTTTGACATGAATCTTTGATTGTGTTTGTGTGCGTGTGTTTCTGGCAGTTTTGACTCTGATAAAAACAAGTGCCTTGTTTTCTACTTTAGATCAGAGGAGTAGCTAGGCATGGTGGCATCTGCCTGTGCCCCAGCACTGGACTTCGAGGCCAGTCTGGGCTACACAGCAGCCAGAAAAAAAGTGGAGGAGTTAGCAAGGCCCTGAATTTTCTTTTTTCCATTTCTCACCAAGGATGTTACTTGTAGGTGTCTTTCAGGTTGCAGAAAGGATGGAAAAAAGGACATGTGCACTGTGTCCCAAAGGTGCCGACTGTAGTGTACTATACTTTGCACAGTCAGAGAACATAGCTGCTCATGAAAATTGTTTGGTAAGTTACTTGAAACTACATGAGTATTTTTAGGGTCAGACATCCCAGAAGCGTTGAACAGTAGTTTGGATGCAAGGAGTAAGGAGTTGGCTCTGGTTTGGGCTTTCAAGTGGAGAGAGACAGTTTTCTAACTTTAAATTATCTCAAATATTATTACCTTGATTGCTTTTACTCAGAACTGGTCAAACACAGTAAAAGAAATTATGGTGAAGAAACTTCTTTAAAGATACTTTGAACTATTTCTGATATAATAGAAACATACAGACCTTCCACCCAGATATTTTATCACACTTTACAGATTCTTTAAATGTATCTATGTAGATAAACATTGCTCTGCGGGGCTGGGGATTTAGCTCAGTGGCATAAGCGCCTGCCTTGCAAGTGTGTGGTTGTGAGTTCGATCCCTGGTACTGATAAAAAAGAAAAAGACAAAAAAAAAAAAAAAACGTTGCTGTACATCTTTCATTTTAAATACTGTGTTCAATTTCATGTCTGTGACATTCCTCAGCTCATTGTTCACAGTCTCCTGTGAATAGGCATTTAGGTTTTATCCATCTTCTTAATAAATATGACTAGCGAGTTATCAAAACACTCTTGACGGACTCCCCTTGCACATGAGAGTTTCTTTCGTCTGTGGTACGGAGCTAAGAGCGGAATCCCTGGGGCACAGAAGGAGCTATTTGCACTTAGCTAGATTCACCAGGTTGCTCTCCGGTTTTACCAGATTTGGCTTCTACTGTTTCACAGTACAGTAGAGCCTTGGTTTGTAAGCAGAATTTATTCTGGAAACACGCTTATACTCTAGAGTACGTCAATATCCAAGTGAATTTCTTCATAAGAAATAATGGAAACTCACATGATTCATTCCACATACAAATGATTGCAGTACTTTAATATAATACAAAATAATAAAATAGAAAATATAAAGAAAAATAAATTAACCTGCACTTACCTTTAGAAACCTTCGTAGCTGGTATAAGAGAGACAAGAGAGGATCACTCCTATCTGTTTGCCTCAGTGAAATCTTTTTCTTTCCATGCAAGTTTAATAAGGACCCTGTCCAATGACTGCTTTTGCTTCCTTTTGAGGATTTCATGGAAATGTGACGTTGCGTGGTCCTTAAGCAGACTTGTCACTCACACTGCCACAACCTGATTAAGTGATGCTGCTTTTCTACAAAAGTTTTCAGTTTACCCCATTTCACACATCTCCATTTGAAGTCAGAGATTCCTCCACTTTTTTTCCTCCTCTGCAGACAACAGCTTCTCTGTAACCTCTTGCTATGGGGAAAGGGTCACGTACAATCCTGCAGAGAGAAGGGCGGAGGTGGACAAGAATCATTGACTCAGTTGTGAGCATGTGACACTTGGTGTCATGTGCTACTGATACTGTAAGGCATTGCTCATTTATCAAGTTAAAATTTGTCGGAAGTGTTTGCTCATCTTGTGGAACACTCACGGAACAAGTTACTCACAATCCAAGGTTTTACCGTATTTTTCTCTTCATCATTGCCAGTAGTTAATGTTCTCAAGTTTGAATTTTTCCAGTCTGATTTGTATAAAATAGTATCTCACTTTTACTTGTGTTTCCCCAATTACTCGGCATTGCACAGTGATGCCTGTGCTTATGTGCTGTTCTGGCTCCTGCTCCTGTGAATGTGTTTATGGTCTATGCTTCATCTTTGTCTTTGTTTTTCCTTACAAGTATTTATATAAAAATAGATACTAATGCTCTGTTATACACTTTGGCTTTTTTGTGGTATTTTTTATAAGACACTCATAATTAAAATCATTATTATTTTCCTTTAACATTTGTGTTCTTTTTCCACTAAGTTCTTTTCTAGCTAGATATGGTGGTATATGCCTGTAATCCCAGAACTCAGGAGGCTAGAGCAGGAGGATTGATAGTTCAAGGTATCTGGGCTACATTGCAGGACTGTCTCCAAAACAACAAAAAGGTTTTTTTGATACTAAGAGTCTTAATCTTTTTTCCACAAATTTTGAAATCTTGCTTATCTCAGTTAGTTTGTACTGGAATTTTACTACTGTGTAAAGTAAAAATCTGACTTTATTGTGTTTTGTATTTCTCCATACGATTAATAACTTTTTCTTCCATTTTTTGGCATTTTTTATTAGTACACATGTATGTACATTTATATTCCTTGTGGAGAGTTGTTTCATGTATATAACACATCTCAATCCCTTTTTATCCCCTTTCCTTTCCCCCTTTCTCCCTCCATCTGTCTTCCAATCGCCATCGTGTGTGTGTGTGTGTGTGTGTGTGTGTGTGTATGTGTGTGTGTGTGCATGTATGTGCACACACGCGCATGTTTGCAGTATATAATGTTACATTCCTGTTGTGGAGCTGGTACACATACGTAACGGCTCTTAATTTCTCCATTCGTCCCCGCTCTCTTCCCTGCCTCCATCTGTGATCCTCTTCCCTTTTGAGAAAAATCTGTCTCTACTTCCTCTTTTATTTTGCTCTTTATTTATACTTTAGGTTTCTCATATAACAGAAACCTTTATCACAATTTTTTGACAAGTCTGTTTTTCTTACCAATTTGTAACAACAATAGCAATTATTTTGTGTTTACTGTGTGCAAAGCAATGTTGTGGGAAACTTTATCTACATTAAATTATTAATCCTGAAAGGTAGTTGCTGCTGCTATCTGCATACTAAAGATGAAGCAAGTGACACACCAAGATATTACACCATTTTCCCGGGTGTCACAGCTTATGAGTATCTTCAGTTATGCTCTCGTGGCTCTCAATGTCCTGAATCAGTTAGAATACATTGACCTTTCATGCTCATTTTGACTTTGGAAAAGAGCCAAAAAGAAGACCAGCAGTGTCAGATCAGTGATTAAGGTGTATAAGAACACACCTTACTGTTTTAAAGTCTGTTTTATTGTTGGCTGGCAGTCAGCAGCAGCACTCACCATATTTTTGATTAAACATAGTAAAGACACTCATGAAATAAAACTTCTATAACTGCTTCAGAATGTGTCAAGGATGATGGGTGAAGTATGTTCAAAGTTAGGGCCATTAATGGCAGTGTATCATTACTGTAATAAATTAAAGCATTCACTATATATTTTGCTTATCCTTTCCTTTGTCCTGAACCCTTAAGAATATTTTCTACAGACAAGGACATTATCTCACATAATCATAATTCAACTATCAAAATTAGGAAGTTACCCTGTTAATTTGTGTTGTGTTACTACCAACTAATCCTCAAATCACTGATGCTTCACCAATATCTAACATTCCTAACAAAGGATTCCAGCTAGTGGGTTGCACTGAATTTTCATGTCTCAAGTGTTTTTCTTTTAATCTGTTCCTAGTGGGTTTTTCATTTTAACACAAGGCCTCACTAAGTTCATAATGCCCTTAGATTTTTTTCTGCTGTTAAGCCATTCTGAGATTACCATGATGTACAGTTGTAATATACTATTAATCTTAATTGACTGCTATTTTTAGTTAACATTACTGGGATGATACTCATAAAACAAAATGCACCTATTTTTAAGTGTACAGTTTGGAGAGTTTTAAGACATGTATGTACCATGTAACTACCATAATTGAGATACACAACATTACCAGTGTCCCAGGAAGGTTTCTCATGTCTCTTTGCAATCAGTTCTTCCCTTCATAAGCCTCCGTAAATGGGTCTTATCTTCCCTCAAATATCATACCAAAGCAATTCTATGGCTTGCACTCTTGTTTGTGGACGCCTTTACTCAGCACTGATTTGTAGATTCATCCATGTTGTGTGTGCATGTGGACCTTTGGATCTTTGGTTCCGTATCTATGGATTCAACCAACTGCAGATTGAAAATACTCAAAAAATTTCTACTTGTACAGACTTTTTTCTGGTCACTATTTCTTAATTCAGTGTAACAATTATTCATATAACATTTATGTCACATTAGGTATTAAAAGTAATCTAGAGATCACTTAAACTGTATAGAATCAGGTATGTAGGTTTTATATAATACTATATGTTAAAAAAGGGAGAATTTTGGTATACAAAAGGGGGTCCTGGAACCATTTCCCCAAGAATACTGAGGGACAGCTATGACTGCATTTGTGTCATTTACTTTTTCATATTATTTTATTATATGGATATATCACAACTTGCTTATCCATTCACTTGTTGATAGACCTATGTGTTTTTCTAGTTTGAGAGTATAATGATGAACCTGTTAGGAACATCTGTATGTGAGTCTTTGTATAGGTTTATGCTTTTATTTCTCTTGGGTAAATATCTAGAGGTAGATTGCTGGTGTTTTATTTTGTTTTTCTACCAATATTGGGTGTTGAACCAGGACCTTCCCACTAAGCTACACCCGCAGCCCTTTTTTTTTTCATTTTAAGACAAGACCTCACTAAGTTCCTAAATGCCCTGTCTGTAGAGAGTGCTGGGACTGCAGGTGTGCACACTATGACTGCGGCCCATCTTTAACTGAATTAACTTACCATTTTCTGGATGTAGGCCTTTTGGCAGGTGTAGGTGTTCTGCACGTTTTCTCCTGGCCTCTATGTTACTTTTCTGTTTCCTAGCAATGCCTTTCCAAAAGAAAAAAAAAGTTAATTTTGATAAAGTTCCAACTTTTTAGTGTCTGCTCTAAGAAATCATTGCCTGTGCAAGTATCATTTTTCAAAAAAACTCGTCATGTTCTTAATGCCTTTGTTAGTTGTGCTTTTATGTTTTATGGACCTTCAATTGAGAAAGTAAGTTGGATCCTTTCAGTTTCATGTGGCACCCAGAAACTCGAGCCAGCCTGAAGGGGGTTTAAATACGGTTGCAGGGCCATTTCATGGCTGCCAAAGCAAAGATGGAGGCAGGTCTAAGAAAGTGAAGCTGGAAACTCCACAAAAATGTCTTTTCTCACTGAGCACGCTGAATGTCAGCCTCAGCCGGGGTCACGGGGAGTTGGAGGCCAGCCTGACTTGCATCGCAAAACTCTGTCTCCTCGTCCCTGGTTTTGCTTTTCTTTCTTTGCAGACTGGCTTGCTCAGACCAGATAGCTTCAGCTGTTGTTCAGAGATGGTATGCCCTCCTTAGATAGGGAATCAGATGGCCCAGCCTCAGTATGAGGGTCCACGTAGGTCTAATTAGCCAGAGAGGGTCAGAGTTAAAAGTATGAAATACGCCTGGGGATCAGAGCCACCCCGAAAGAAGTGAGGTAGTTTTATGGCCTGTTCGTCTGTCACTAGAAGTGGTCACTGTACTGCTTGCAGTCCGTCTTCTACTCTCGGTGTACTTTTTGGTACCACTGCTGACTTGGAACTTCTAAGTATTACTTTATGCATACTCTGGCTTTTCCCCCCAATCTTCAGCTATTTTCTTCAGCACTTGTGGAATGTGAGGACCAAGAGCCACGTAATAATGATAGAAATTTTGATGTGGAATCAGTAAAGAAAGAAATCCAGAGAGGAAGAAAGTTGGTAAGTAGAAATGATTTTATTTCTCTTACAGGACGATCGTACTCTCGGGAGGTACACTCAAAAGAGTTACTCGATTGATAAGCCAGCGATAGAGAAGCATGTTGGACAGCCAAAAAAAGACGGACTGTATTAAAAACTTGAGTGTTTTAAATTACCAGTCAGTAAAGTAGATTAAGAGGAAGAAACCCGAACTCAAACTGGCTTTAACAAAAAATGCTTGTTTTCTCACTTACCTAAAAGAAGCAGCAGCTTCAGTGACCTGATGATGTCACACCCAGGTTCCTCCCTCTGCCTGTCCCCAGCTTGTTCCCTCACAGCCGTGGGGTGGCTGCTTGCAGCAACTGAAGCGTCACTCTCGTGGTCGTACCACGCTTTCTACACCGGTTGCCACGTGTGGCCATAAGTGATCAGAGTCTACCCTGGGGGCCGAGACTGTAACGAGCCACCCGGAAGGAAAGAATGCTGCGGGGTCGTCCTCCTGGGTCCGCTGAGTGCACAGACTGCCTCAGTATAAGCTCATTCATAGCTCTGCAGGCAGGACAGTAAGTGCAAATACCTCGTGCCCTTAATCACAGTAAGATTAAGATGAGAAGCACACATTTATTTAACCTTCAAAAAAATGGCAGCATCTTGTATGAGGGTGTTATATGCTGTGTGTAAGCTTCAAGCTATGGTTATATAGATCTAACGCTGCTTATTTGGTAAGCAGAAGGAATTGGAAAGTCCAGAGTGAAAGAAGACAGCCCAGATAGAATTCTACAAATTATGCTTCCACTGATGGTGTAAGTAGTCCTGTAGTAGATCCTGAACCAAGGATAAGACGGAGTGTATAGATTCTGCCCTCCGTATTTATAGTGTTAGTCGTTGGCAAGAGTGGACTCTGGCATAATTTCTACTGACAGGGCAACAGGGAGGCCACTAGAGTTCATTTAAGGGCTTTGGTGTGATAACATGAGGTAACAGAGCCGCTGCAAAAGTTGTCCACATGTAAGAACCCAGCCTGAGGATTGAGGGAAGTGACTAGGAGTATAATAATTAGAAGCAAGTGGGGGACCCGAGGGATTTTTGCAGTTTGGGGGACGCAGACTTCCCTGTTGGGGAGACTTTGGGATGCATTGGAAGTATAGGATAAAAGAGAGGTGTGCAAAGGCACAGAAGGGAATTTGTACGTAGTGTTTACTGCACTTCTGGTATATGTGGGCAGGTACACAGTACACACACTCGTAGGGGAGATAGGCCTGTGGGCGTCCAGCTTGCCAAGTGCTGTAAGAGGGGTCAGCACCACCCTCACAGGCTGCCTTCCTCGCAAGGAGAGGAAGACTGGAAACCCGCAAGAGGACGGGACATGCCAAGGTGCGAGAGGCTGGAGAGGCTGGAAAGGACAGCACACACTTATAACGCTGTCAGCATGTGACTCGGGGGCATATAAAGTGTAACGTGATTCGGGAAGCCACTCCCTTGCAGTCAAATAATGAATCCGTTCTGGGTTCTCACTGTAAGTAATGCCACAGCAAACATCTTGGCACATACGTCCTCGTGGGTGCTTCTGTAGCAGTCCTGGAGTCACTTAAGTTTGACCTAGCATTTGAGAGGTTGAACTGTGTTACCCTTGAGGCCTCACCCAGGTCTAGCAGCTCTTGACCCTCCTTTTGGGGTCTGTGGCCCCGCATCATCTGTGTGGCCCATAACCAAAAAGGCCCCCTTCCAGCCACGCTGGCCCTCTCCCACTGCACATACCACTTCCTCGCTCACCTGGCAGAGCCCGGCCCTGTGTAAACACGGTTACTGGCTGGCTGCATCACTGAGTAGCACCCGCACTTGAGTAGTTGAACAAATGGGGAAAACCACAAATGTGCATCTTGATTTTAGATTCACAGCCGCAGCTTCAGAAAGGCCTTCATCACTTGTACGTGTCTTTGCTCCACCCTCCACATTTACTGCTTCACATCCTCTCACCTCTTTAAAACCTCCAACCCAGCCCCAAGCTGAGTGCTGTCCTTATTTAACCTCATAAACTATTCCTCACCCAGTTGCTCTCACCCTCCATCTGGAAGTCCCTTTTTAAAAATTTCCTAGAGACACATTCCAGGTGTCTCCTACCTTTTTGGCTACTTCTTACTAAATACTTTGGCTGTTTTCTCCTCTTCTGCCCAGTCTTGAAGATTTGTAGCCACATAAGACTCCAGGAGTCCTGGGTTTCTTCTGGACCTGAACAGCCTTCCCTCATCCAGTTTCCTGGTTTAAATACCATCTGTATGTCAGGGACTTGTAAGTCAGTCTGTATCTTCTGCTCTGTCCCTTCTCTAGAATTCCAGACTCCCAACCTGGATACCTGTCCAAGGACACCTACAACATCTCATAGTGAGCTCACTGATAATACACTCCCACTGCCGTAACACTGCTTCCCAATCTGCTGCTCCTTCCCTCCTGCAGACAGGCATCACTCACCTGCGAGGCAAAGCATCAGTCTAAGGATTATCTTTTGCTTTCAGTGTCTAGGCCAGCATTAAAACCATCAGTGACATTCCCTAAACACACCCTGTGTCCCTTACCCACTTTTGTCTCAGGATTACTAATCCGGTAAATGAAGTCTGATATGTAGCTCTCAATGGCTGTGGCTCCTGCCATTCTAGCCAGCTTACTGTATTCCTACCTGGCTCCTAGAGCAGTCAGAATACTGTCTAGAGGCAGATAAAAGCCCATCTCTACTCTGGCTGGTCAGCCCTGTTACTAGGCCCTAACCTGCGACTTCTCTGCCCAGTGGAGGCTCTAATAATGAGACTGTGGCCTTCTGCTCAGCTTGCCGGAGGAAAGCTCAATCTTGCCATAAGGATTGAGAGGCTTTGACTTACAGTCTCTCTGCCGCTGCCTTGCCATACTAGGGATTTGTCTTAGTTACTTTTTATTTGTTGAGACAAAATACCTGACGCCCAAAGTTAGGGAAGAAAAGGTGTATTTCTTACAGCTTTTGGAGGTTTCAGTCTATTCTTAGTTGGCCCCAAGTCAGCATGGCATGGCAGGGTCACAGTTCATGGCACCTGCAAATAGCAAAAGCAAAGCAAGAGAAGAAGATCACCTTCTTCCTGCAGTTCCATTGGCCCCACCCCTGGGTGGTGAAACACTCACACCACCAGTTGGCGCCTGAGACAACGAACCAATCACAAGTGCTAGATTTGGTCCCTTTATGATTGCGTGAGGCTTGAGGCACAGCCCCAGGAATACAAACCACAACAGGATTAAATCGGCCAGGTTAGATCCCCAGCCCTGTTTTTTGAGAGCTAAGTTGTCCAGCTATGCCTCAAACTTTAAGTTTCCTGCCTTAGCCTCCCAGGTAGCAGGGATTATAGCTGATGCCCAGCTCATTGTCCTCTTTTTGCATGCTTGGGTCTTTGTTGTTGTTCAAGGCCAGCCTGACAGCACTCACTGTATAGTGTAGGCTGGCCTTGAACTCACTGTGTAGCCCAGGCAGCCTCCTATCTCACAATGAGCCTCGTGCCTTGGCCGCCTCAGTGCTAGCATTACAGGTGTGGCTGTTACGTGTGCCCTCTGCTTTTCTATCATTTAGAGGTGTACTTTACTAACTGTCCAGTCCGAAGGAGGCAACCAGTGATACTGTCACTTAGCCTTTTTTTTTGGAAACAGGGCCTTGCTATGCAGTTTAGGCAGGCCTTGAGCTCACTTTGTATCCCAGCTGGCCTTGAATTCAAGAGGCCAGCAGGCCTCTTGAGTGCTGGGATTACTGGCATGTACTACCACACCCAGCTACTTTGCTTTATTTTAATTCTATACAAAGCATGATGCACATTTGTGAGGTGATTTTATTTGTGTTTATTTGGGTTTTGTTGTCCATTTTTTGCCATGCTGGACATCAAAGCCAAGGCCTTGTGCATGCTGAGCAAACGCTTTACCACTTAGCTATAACCCCAGAGCACCATGAGATGTTATAAAAATTTTTTTGACTGTTGTACAGTCTCCCTACTGGAGTATAAATTTCATGCAAGCAGGTGCCTTTGTTTTGTTTACTGCTATTTCCCCTTATCCTCAACAATCCTACATCACTACTGCATACTACTGTATCTAATATAAACTTCAAATACCTAGTAGCCATTTGTAGTTCTTATGCACTTTGCCTGTTACTGTTTTTCTGTGGCTTATCTGAATGTTAAAACACTAATACACTGCAAACATTTTTCTATCTTTTCCTTTCAATTTCAAATGGTACTTGCCACCATAAAATGAAAGTAAATATTTTTTATATAGTTAGACCTGGCTCTTTCTTTGTTGCATCTGGGTTTTCTATCTTCCTTAGGCACAATATCATGCCTTTTTTTTCTGAGACAGGGTCTTGCCATGTAGTTTAGAGTGGCCTCAAGCTTGCAGCAATCCTCCTGCCTTACCCACCCCACCCCCAGTTTTGGGATTACTGACAAATGCCACTGCACCCACCAATACCATGCTTCTTTCTTCTCTACTGTATTCTTATTGTGCTTACCTTGGGATATTGTTTAAGCAATCTCATTTTGCAAAGTGGTCTTATTGTTCTTTAGACAGAACGTGGTGCTAATTGGTCTTCAGTGTGGCTGGATTATACAAGCCAGGTTTCTGTGGCCACACAGTGAATGCTTAATTATCTCTATACCATCTTCACATGCACGTTATCAAAGAAAAAAGTAAGGCTTCAAATAAGTTAAAACTAAGAAACTCTTACTAACCAGGCATGGTGGTGCATGCCTGTAATTCCAGCAACGGAGAGATGGAGGCAGGGATCATCTGGAATTTAAGACCAGCCCAAGGCTACATAGATAGTTCAGGGAGAGCCTGAAATATATAGTGAGATAAAACTCAAAAAAGGGGGGGGGGAATAACTTGCTCAGTTTTTTTGTTTTTTGGCCC